ATCCATTTTGTTCTTTCTCTTTTTGTATCTTCTCCATTTGCTCCTACTTTCTTCTTTCTCGTTCTCTGTAGAGCTGCTAACCTGAGTTTAGCCTCCACTATACTTGAACACATAGGCTGCATTCGAAAACTCTAAAATGCTGCCTTCGAAGGCAGGAAGGCAGCAAGGCACGTCCGAATCCAAATTCTGCTTTACTTCCTGTCTCCGGAGGTACCTTCTTCTGATCGAATTTTGAAGGCAGCATATATGTATCCTTAGCTGCCTTTGATATCCCACAATCCTGTGTGTTCTATTCCCTGACGGTTGAGCTAAAAACAATAAAGATGGCACCTGAAAGTTGCATTTGGTGGTCAGTTTGTGTATAAATGTATATTTCTGACTAACTTTTTGCACTTTTGATGTTACTTCTAGAGAGAAATCAGTATTATAGTAATTAAATATTTGTTTAGTTATCACAAAAACTCGTTCTATTTTGTTGTAGATCATTAAACCGTTATGCTGCCTCAGAAGCATGTCCGAAATCAGTTTCATGAGGTGCCTTCGTGCAAAAATGCTGCCTGCAAAGTCATTGCCTCATACGGCAGTGAGGCAGCAAGTCAGCTGCCTAAGTTTTCGGATGCAGCCAAAATTTTCAGCAGAACCCTTGAATAGCCGGTGTGTTTGATTAGAGATGGCGCTAAACTTGGTGAGCGCTGAAATGTCTCAGGTTTTGATTTGTACAAATAAATTAATTAGGAAATTCGAACACAGAATGTCCCACTGCTTATCGTGAGCACAGCTGTTCAGGACACAAATTCTCATTAATGTGAGCAAGATTTTATCATTTGTAGCTGTATAATGCTTGGTTAGGACATGGTGTAAAGCTGTGCTCAGACAGGGAGTAAAAATATTTTTTGTAATGATGTATGCGATTGAAGCCCTTGTTTTTTAATCTGAAAAGCAATCAAAAAGCATACGAATTAAATCTGCTGTATATGTGGTTTGTATGATTACATTTTTTTTAGTCTAAATAGACAAGTCATGCTTCCAGTGTTTTTTTTGTTTTGTTTATTTTGTCGTTTAGGAAACCGTATGACTGTAATGCCAAGCTTAATTATTACAGCTGTGTCTGAATTCATTCATTTCACACTCACATGTGGCATTCACTATGTATGAATGGTGATTGAGTGAATGAGTAAGTGGTCCTGAATATATGTTCCTCACGCTATTCACACCATGTCAAGATGAATGGACTTGAATGTTTTTCATATTTTCTTTCCACTGTAACTACTACTGTATTGTCTCTTGGCATTGTGCTGACTTTATCCAAGGTAAATATACTGGATATTGACTAATATGTTGCTATGTTGCGTAGGTGTAAACATACAATATACATTCTCAATTAGATCATCCGAATACGAATTCATAGATACGTAGAGTTACAAGGTTATATATATGTACGCTGACAGGAGTGTGTTTCGATTATAAGCCTGCATAACAGTATACAATTTCAAAGACAAAATACACGATGACAATAATATACCCAGTGACCTGAAGGATCATGTGTGTTCATTCAAAGAGAGGTTTTTCTATTAATTAATTAGCAAAGAAAGTCCTTCCCTTGTGGATTTTCCTTATGGGCAAGGAAGCGATTTTCTTCACCTAAATTCCAGGGGATCGTAAATGTATCGGGTGTCAGGGTTGCCATGGAACCAGGGGCCTGTTCGGCTTCCTGGGGTGTTACAGAGTATTTGTTAAATCTAGCTAACAAAATATATAT